TTATGACTCTGAAGCTGAAAAAATGACAACAGTTTCACATATGGAGGGCGGGCCGTTTTCAAAATGTGACTCTCGCCTTAGCGCGGCGCACATTCGTTTTAAACATTTGCAAGATTTTCACGGATTGCCTCGGCGCCGCGCACATTCATGCATACAATTTGCAAGAGTTTCACGGATTCCCATCATCATCAACGTACCAAACATGGTGTTTTGGAAGGATTCAGGATTATGCGGGTGCAACAGTTACGTTGATTCGCTGTGTTGAAGTCCCAGGAATGGTGTTCTGGCATGATTCAGGATCGTCAGGACGCAACAGTCAGGTTGATCTGTGGCGTTGGGATCCCGAGAACAATGTTTTGGCATGCCTCAGGGTCTTCTAACGGTTGTCTTCCAACGAGGCAGCTCCCTCAGTGGTAACGAACCGTAGTAGGGGCCTATGAAGAGGGAGCTTGGAGGGAGGGCCGATTCCAACATCGTTGATGGCTCTTGGGTTTACACTGATCCTCCTCCTCCCCCTCCTTCCTCTCCCCTCCCCCACCCCGTCTCCTCATCGACGCTGCCGGCGGCGGCCTGGTCGATCAGGACTGCCCACACGCCACTGCGCCACTGCGGCCAACTCGCCATCGCTCGGACGTCCATTCCCTGTGTTTTGTTCGGTTTCGTGCGTGGTTTTTTCGGCAAATGATCGAGGATGCTCCTCGATGGTCCTCGCCGAGGAAAAAACGCACACGTCCGAGCGATGCCAGGCCAAGGGGGCGACGAACTGAGGACGAGCAGTGGCCGCGGGCCACGGGCCGTCGTGGGCAGGCGGTGCTGTTGAGCAGGACGTGGAGTTCGAGTGTGGAGCTCCACGTAACCAGTGCTGGATCCTGCGCGTGCCAAGAGGAAGGACGGTGGCAGCAGCCCTCGGCGCTGCTCGGCGGACCGTGGGAGGCCACCTGGGGAACCGACGTCTGCAGCCACGGCGTTGGGATCAGCGACTGTGAGGATGGCGGGCAGTGGTAGTGGGCCAGCGAGACGTGGGGCTTGAACGTGGAGCCCAACGTCGCCAGCTACAACGCGTAGATTGGTGCATGCGGCAAGGGAGAGCAATGGCAGCATGGCTCAGCGCTGCCCGGTGCAGTGCGGACGCCCCACGTCATCGAGTAACCCACGCGGGGATCAGCGCGTGCGTGAAGGACGAGCGGTGGCTGCAGGCTGGGGCGCCGCTCAGCGGGCTGTGGCAAGAGAGGCCGGGGCCCAGCGTGATCGGTGCCAACGCCGAGCTCGGCGCTCGAGAGAAAGGCGGGCAGCGGCAGCGGGCTGCTCGGCGGGCCGTGGTTCGGGCCGGGCGAAAGGGGGGGATAGCAAAGGGGGGGTTGAGAATCAGCTCACGCAGCTGAGTTTCCCGGCGCCTCCCGGCGCCGGAGGCGGCCATGTATGGAGGAATGGGCCCCTCGGTGGGGCCGAAACCAGCTGCATGCGGCAAATTTCGTAACTTCTCCCTCCCTCCCTCCTCCTCCCTCCTCCCTCCTCCTCCTCCTCCTCCTCCTCCTCCTCCTCTTCCTCCTCCTCCTCCTCCCTCCTCCTCCTCTCCTCCTCCTCCTCCTCCTCCTCCTCCCTCCTCCTCCTCCCTCCTCCTCCCTCCTCCTCCCTCCTCCTCCCTCCTTTCCCAATCCCCCCCCTTGCGCCCGACCCGAGCGGTGTGCGGAGCCGGGCCCGGTGTCGGTCCTCGGCGGCAGCGCCGGGAGCGGCGTGTGCCAAGGAGAGGCGGGGCGGCGGCGGAGACCCGGAAGGGTGCAGTGGCAGAAGGTCGGGCCTGTCCCCCTACACCCTGCGAAATGCTTAAGAAATCATGGGTTAAGAAATTCATAGTCTCAGAACTTGAATAAAAACCCAACCTTTCCGTTAAAATCTTAAGATTCACATTGAAACGTTAAGAATAATCGAGACTCTGGCCGAAAACTTAGGTTTTCTTAAGCATCGCCTAAGGTGTACAGGGGGATTTTGGGCGAAAAATCAGAAATACCCCAAAGATACACCCCAAAAGCGAAAAAATAGTCAAAAAGTCGTCCCCAGACTATTTATTTTTACTATTTTGGGAGATTCCCCCTGTAGAGGGACAAGCCCGACTTAGCAGTATCAGCATGGGCCGTGAACCAGAGCCTCCAGGGTGTGCGCGGGTGCGGCTCGCACGCATGGGAGCGCGCGGGGGCGCGCCTCCTACCTTGCCGTCGCTCGGACGCCCATTTCCCGTGCCATTTTCGGTTTCGTGCGCGTTTTTTTTTGCTCGATGGTCCAGGATGGTCCTCGATTCGGGGATGAACAGACCCCCCTTTAGCAAAACGTGGTTTAGTGAAAACGACCTGAGGCCCAAACCTGGCGGGCGCAAGCCTGGAAAATAACGGCCACGGCGCCCTCTCGAGAACCGAAAACGGACAATTCACTAATCGACGTGACACTGTTGGGGGTTCTGTCCACCCCCGATCGATGGTCCTCGCCGAGAAAAAAACTGCACACG